CCCTCTCCTGTGGAGAAAGGATCCTGGCAGAGATGGATTCACCAACAACTCTAAGGAATGTTTTCCTTCCCACTCCTCCAAATTTAACACCCGGGAATCCTCCTGCCAGGATCTGCCAGAAACCATCAGGGATAAACAGCTTAAAAAAATGGATTTAGAGGAATTCATGGAATACAAAATCCAGGAGGCTTTGCCATCCCAGCCCTGGGATATTCCCTAAATCCTTCAATCCTACACAAACCCCACATCATCTGCTCGAGCCATTCCATGAAATCTCCCCATCTCCAGAATCCTGGAATGGTTTGGGTGGAAAAAGGGACCTTAAATCCCAATTCCATGTTCAGGGACACCTCCCACTGTCCCAGGTGGATCCAACCTGGCCTTGGGCACTGCCAGGGATCCAGGGGCAGCCCCAGCAAATCTGGGAATTTCATTCCAGCCCTTCCCCACCATCCCAGGGAGGGAATTTTTGATAGAAACCCATTAAAATCCCCCCAAATTTGGGGAAAATTTGGCTTCCACTCAGGGCAATGAGGGAGGGTGGGACCCAAGGCTCATCCAGGGATTTTCTTCCCCTTGGATGTCCTGGGTGTTCCAGGTGTCCAGAGGAGATGGGGAATTTTATCTTTGATGGGATTCAGGGGTCGGGGTTTTTTTTCCCCAGGGATGCACAGAGCCAGACGAGGCATTAATGAAACAGTTAAATGCTGTATTTGTTTAATTGGAATTACACCAGGATAAATGTCCAACATGCTAATTTCTAACAGAATTGAACCTGTAAACCATGCAGTCCTTTCTCCAACCACTCCAGCTCTTTTTCCTCTTGGAATCAGTAGCTCTGCTAGCGAGTTTTAAGGAAAAATAAAACAAACAAAAAAAAAAACTCAACAAAATTCCCTTTAAAGTTAAACCTAATTTGCTAAATTTCCCCCGTATTGTGCAACGACTTGTGCAAAAAAAGCTGTTTTCACCACCTGGGTTCCCAAAATCAGGTCCTTCCACCCCAAAATCAACGGGAAAAGGCAACCCCAGAGGGCAGGGAGGGATGGGATGTGGGATGGGAGCCTGGGGGGATTTTCCTGGAAAATCAGAATCTGAGGGATGAGCCAAGGCAGGGAGCAGCCTGGATAGGACAGGATTCCAGAGCTGCCCGAGGAATTTTTTGGGAAGCTGCAGGTGGGGATGGATCCCAGCTCTGGGAAAAGCTTCCCAAATCCAGCAGGAGAGGGGCTGGAGGTTGGAGCAGCAGTTTTAGGGTGAAGCAAACCCCCCTGAGCTCCATCCTGGCATTTTTGGGGTGAATCCCAACCAATCCCCGTGTGTTCCACGGTGTTCCCAATGGACAGCAGAGCTGGGATCATGCCAGAGTCGTTTGGGATGGGATTTATGGGATTTGTGCTCCCTTGGAGCTGCCAGCAGTGGGATAAACACGGAATTGTGCTGGGGGTGGATACCAGGGATCTCCAGGCCCCATGGAGCTGTAGGAAAAACGGGATAGAGATCCCAAAAATCCTGCAGCACCCAGGGATGGGACACGAATCCAACCAGATGACGTTTGGGTGTCCAAAAGGTCCAAAAAAGCACCAAACCCAACTCAGAACTAACGGGAGCAGCCCAGGGGAGGCAGGAGACATCCAAGGGTGAGGAATGTCTGCCAGGGGTTTGGATCTGGTTGGAATTGGATCCCAAAAATTTCAGCACAAGGGACGTGACAGCAGCGATGCCCCCGGGTCCATCCCAGCCTCGCTTCCCAAGGAATTCCCCCAAGGAATTTGGGGTCACCATGATCCTTCCCACAGCTCCTGCCCGAAATTCCACCCCAAAAACAGCATCAACCCAAATTCTTCCGTCCCCATCCGAGCAGGAATTGGGATTGGATCTGGAACAAAGTGCAAAAATCACCGGGAGCATCAGGAATACCTAAAAAAATCCCAGGAAAATTCCTCCTTTCCCACCCCACAGGTGCTGATGGCTGAGGGAGAACACCCTATGGATGGGTTTGGGCTGCAAATTCCCACTCTGGACACCTTTCATAGGATTATTCCCAACTCCTGGAATGCCTGACAACTCCTGAAGAAGGAAAGAAGCTTCTTGGGAAGCTGAATTCGGGTTTTAATCTAATTTTTTTTCCCACTGGTGCTGGAATATATTTGCTGGAAAAATTCCGGGATAATTCAATTTTCTTCTCTTAAAAAATAAAATGCACTAAGGAATGTTCAGGGGATGTGGAGGGAGGTGTGAGAGCAGCATTATTTATTTTGGGAACTTGGAAATCTTGGATTCAGGTCCTGTTTTTCACCCCCCTTTTTTTAAATTCCCTGCAGTGACTTTTCCCTCCTAAACAATTCCATCCGTGTCGGAGGACACCCATCATTAGGAAGAGACTGAGAGGGGATTTGGGATGTCTTCCAGAGGGGTTTTTTTTTGTTTTTTTTTTTTTTTTTTTTTTTTTTTCCTGTGGGGTTATACTGAATAAGGAGCTTTAAAATGATTCTTCTTTGTTCATTTAGCAGGTTTATAATGTCTTTTTTTTTTTGTTTTTTTTTTTTTTGGGTCAATCTGTTTAAAAGATTAATTTTGTTTGGAAGGGATGATGGAGCTGCATCTCTCGGAACAAAAAGTTAATTGGGACCAGAGTCCCAAAATCCCATTTTTCATCCCAGGCTCTGACTTGCGGTTCCGGCTCTTGACCTCCCGAGATCAGGAACTCCCTGAATCTCTCCCTTGGCCGGATTTGACTTTTCCAGCAGCAAATCCCGAGCACCAGGGAGGTGGTTTGGAGGATCCCAATCCTGCTTTTTCCAAAAAAAA